AGCGCTGCGGCTCCAGGGCTGCTCCCCGCCTGTGGGGTATTTAAAGCAAGTTTGTGATGGAGGGTCACGGTTGTAGCCCCGAGCACGCTGCGACGGTACCAAACGCTTAGATGTTCCGACCGCGACGAGGTAACATTTTCTACTAGCGGGGATCGATCGTTCTCCGGGTTCTGAAGGCTGGAAACTCAAACGTGAAGCTGCTGGAGGGACTCGCTCGAGATCAAGACTCGCCCCTCGTCGACCTCCGTATGTGAAGTTCGCGGCACAACTCCGAAGGAGAGAGCGCCGCGTTTTTCGGAACCGGGCTGGGATTCAAATTCGCGCCGCTGTAGATTCCAACCACCTTCGGGCTCACTCTGAGACGAATACCGACCCAACGGCACCTTGGAATCATTCCCCGACCCACGTCGATGAAACTGGCCTGAGACAACCCGCACTTTTCCACCGTCAATGTTTCGATTCCTCTTGTTTCCTCGAGCCTCGAGGATTTTCGAATTTGAGAATTCGGGTGAATGAATAACTTGAGGGCTTTAAGGGAAAGGTTCGGAGGATCGGAATCTCTATCGTTCCTGCTCTAGGGCAGCAGAGTGCTCCGAGTCGAATTAGGATACCGAGACGGTTCGTAAGGTTGTAAATGACGAAAGCTCAGATATTGAGAGGGGGGGCTCATCTCGCAAGAAGGACGCATCGTACCGATTCTAATGAATACTTGTGGATCGACGGAGCAAGCGTGCCAAGTCGGACGGTCGAGGATTCGACAGAGAAAATCCTACCTTGTTATTTCTCCCCTGCTGTTTGAAGTGTGTTCTCAAAGCTAGAGGAAAAAATCGATAGTCTTGGCGAACTCCGTATTCTCCTCCCTCGCTCAACGACTCCCCCGTCAAGAGAAGGAACGTTTCCGCCGCTGTAGGCACATAAACAAGGGATTTCGAGAAAAGGCGAAGGTGGACTAGATCTTGTAAACGAGCAGAACATACCCTCATGTAAAGAACATTCTCAATTTTCGCTTTGCGCCAGATGTGTTCATTGTTTATGAACAGTCGGTCGCCGAGCGCTCGGGAAAAATTTCGTTCCACTGGCAAACTTAATCAACAAGTCCGGAACACCCGGCTCCGGAGAAATACCCGACAACTTGCGAAAAATTACAAGCTACGACGACACTCGAAATGTCATCGCACCAGCGAGGCTCGGCGACACACTGCGCGAATCCTAAATATCTGCTCTGAGCAACGGATGATCGAGACGTGAAGGGAAGAATTCAGGCGAAATGTTTTTCTCGTCTCTGCCCGGGGGTCGGTAGAAATCGTGGGATTCCGAGGTACCTATAGAGGACGGAAGACGGATGCACAGAAGTCACACTAGGACGGGCAAGAAGATCCGACCGTCGCACCTTGTCAGAGAAAACATCACGCCTCCTGTGTTTTATGGGGGCCAGACTAAGAGACCCCAAGAGAGATTCAGTCCTCGTCCACCGCGGTCACAGCATCCATTCAAGTCCCGCGTGGTCGCCTGAGAAGAGAGCGAGGACGTACGTTAAGCGAAACGCCCAAAACATCTCGAACGCCCAACAGCTCTCCTCGGTCGAAGGATTGAAGCATCTGACGACGCTCGTTCCTCCGGAATGTCAAGGATTCTTGCCCCATATTGCAGGTACTGCGGATCTCCCGCGGCCAGCCCTAGAAGCGCTTCGGATATGCCGCGTGAGCCTATTCAAAGACGAGAAGAATGCTTGCTCTCGTTATCGATGGCCACGGAACGACCTGAAGAACTTTCCTCCGGAGGCTATTGGGCGCTGATGATGCGAGACACCTCCGAGACGAATGGGCATCCACGGGGAGGGAGTCGCATGAATTCCCCAGCCCCCACATTTAGGGAATGAGACTAACGCCGAATGTCACCCGACCGGATAGCCACGAGCCGTGTCCCGTTATGAACGAGACAACAGGTTTGCTATTAAGTGAAGGGAGTATCCACTACGACTGGGCTCGGAGATTCGATACCTGCGTCTTCGAGAATCGCTCTCCGTGAGGAACTGAGGTTCCATGGCGCTCCGTAGGTCATTTCGCGGATCTTGAACATTCGACGGGACGTTGACGATCGGCGATCAATAACATTTTCGGTTTCCTCCCCCGATCTTGAATCGGCACTCCGTCGCTTGCACCGTCCAAGACTCGTCGCTGGTCTTCCTCCGTCGGTCCCGCTCGTCGGGCTCTTACAACGAGCGCTGAGCCGACCACGTGCCAAGATTCTGCGCTCGTTTCCGGGTGATATTTCATCTGCGACGCATCCGATATGCTGGAAGCGCTCCTCAAATTTCTTGAGAAGAGTCGGTCTCGCCCTCTTCGAGCGAGGAACTGGGACTTGGGCTGATCGACGATCAGACGCGAAATCACTTAGCGCGCCGATGTTCGAAGTTGGATCGCTCGAGGTGCCTATCCCAGCGCTCACTCGTTGCTGTGGCTCGTCTGCGCCAGATCTCACGACGTTATCTGAAGTCGCCTCAGCGTTCGGGAGGTGAGAGCTGATATCGTCGGCGTTCACGTGGAGGGTTGATGGTCCCGAAATCCTCATCCTCGCGAGCCTCTGGTCTGAGGAATAAGCCTGATTTTGCGAGCACATCTCGTCGCGGATGCGATCTCTCCCGCGCATTTGAGGCCCTCGCCCGGGGCCAGACGAACGATAAGCGGTCCCGAGGAGTTTCATCGTTCCGCAGGTATCCCTAGACATTGTGCTTCCAAGCTCAAGTAAGGTGGAAGTTTGATCGTGGGGAGGAGTAGCTCAGAAACGGGGCGGCCCCGACCGAGGGAAACTTAACGGTTCTCGCCGTCTCGCTCCTCGCGCACAGGATATGGAGACCTCCAATCGAAGGTAATGAGCGAGAGAACTTGCGGTGGAATCGACAGGGACAAGTCTCCGTGCCTCCCATCTTCCCCCCACGAGGAATGGAGGCAGCTCGGCTCCTCACACAAACGTGCAGAAATTGAGATTCGAGTGGCATCTTACTCCGTTATGGAGCGCTAAATAGCGGCTAAACCTGTTCTCTCCCCTTCCCCCTTTCCCCCGAAAGGGTTAAGGACTCTACCCGAGGGTCGGATCGCTTCGATGCCTTTACCCGGAATCCGGTCGTGTGAATCTGATTTGAGTGCCGCCGCTCTTAGACCATTAAGGACACTTGAAATCCAATTTTTCATTGGAATGAACTCAACGGGCGGAGTCCTACTCTCCTTGGGAAATAATTTCCCAAGACAGATAGCGCTGTAGGGGTGTCAGAGGGAAGGAAGCTCAAGGGAGTCAGTGAATTGTTGAGAAAGTTCACGCTACCATTCGTGAGAGCGACTCCGTGATCTCGATACTTTGTTCCGCTTCGGAAGCAGTGGCTGCACGGACAGGAGTCAGTACTACATATCGACATCGGATACTTCCGCGAACGTATCGGAGTCCTTGCGACAGCAGATGAAATCTCGACTGCCGGCCTAGTTCGCGGATTTCGGTCCGAACCCATGCGGGTATGCCATTTTTATTCGAGTACGTCCCCGGGAACAGTATATTCTGTCGGGTATAACTTGCGACTGGCGCTGAGTTCGCTTAGGAAGTCGGGCATGACTGCTGAATGGAGTTTCTCTCGCCATTCCCCTCGTTTCCAGAGAGCCTTGAGATCTTCGATCGAAGATCATGGCTGGAGTCATGCGAGGTCCTTGGAGCCTCGGAGTGCGCTGGCAACCGTGGGAAGCAATCGGTGTCAGGAGCACCTCGTATTCTCTAGGGAGCGAGGTTCCCGAATTGGGAGGGGGCGGAAAAGCCCGGCAACGTTGGAGCTGTAATACTGCTTTCTCCTCGCGGCGATTTTCGGAATGGGCCGACAAAGAGTTTATCGCCGAGGGAAGGTGCATCACGCTACGAGAGACTCCGCATTTACAATTCGAGCCCCCAAACTGCGAGCGCCATGGTACTTGAGGTCCGGCGTGTGAGGCTCGTCGCCCCTGAGATCTGCAGCCGCCGACAATGGTGATGTTCGTGGCTTGAGAGTTCAAGACTCGGGAAAGCTCGCCGAGGGACGCTCTCTTGTAAATTAGCCGCCGGTTATACTGCTCGGTTGTTCTGCTCTAATGGGGCTCGCGTTGGGCTGGTAATCAATAATAAACAAGGCTCTACGTCATGCGCACGTCGCGCATCGCACCCGGCACCTACATAACATTATCGAACAGAATGCTCCGAAAAACGCACTAGTCCTTGATGAATTATTACTCAACGTCTGAGACAGCGGAAACTTCCGGTTCGGATGTCTCGAGCTTCATACTGAGGCCCGACTCTGCTGGGGACCGACGCCGATGATCGAAACAGACGGGGTGAGGAAGACGTGATTACTCATACAAAGACCGATAACGACACCAGGGAAAATGAAGCCGGCCCCTCGTCGGAATTAGCAAGGGTTCCAGACTATTGTTTTCCGCAAGATATTCTCCGGAGGCGGTTTCTGAGACCCTGGGATCGGATACGAGTCTCGCAAAGTCGTCTCACCCTCGAGATGCTCGGAACATGAATATTTCCAAGCAGCGGCTACCATTTCCGTTGCTGTTATTTCTCACTGATCCATTACGGCCGCGAGAGGTCCTCTCGCAGCGTGATCGCTCAGATCATTGCTATTTTTAAGTTGTTCCATTATTCATAGGTCACGTTTTTTGGTGCATTTTCACTGTGCTGCAAGGTCAGCCGTCGGCCAATCGGGTGGATGAACATTAACAAATGGGAGTATGAGTCGCTGCATGTTCCGGTGAAGTACGTGCTGTTTGGTGATGAGCTCCGTCTTGTTCTGTTCTGGCGAGAACTTCTGAATTCTTTTGTTCTCTCCGAAATGGATGTCTTTTCGCTTACCTAGGGATACCTACCTACATAGATTAAGTCCACTACGTATGATTAGCAAGAATCGGAAATCTCGAGATTTTGGCAGGCCACCCTCGGGGGCCGATCAGTTTTCCTTAACGCCAGGTTTCTTCTCCCTTCTTCGATCGAACACGTGGTTCGAGCGAGCTTCTATGCTGGTCATCTTGCTCAACTGCATAACGCTCGGAATGTATCAACCGTGTGCCGACGAACTTTGTGTAAACACAAGATGCCAAATTTTACAGGTAAGTTCCGTCCCTTGGATATGTAGAACTATTACCCCGGTTTAGTGGACTCCCGCTTATACTGGACCGATTGCCCCGTTGCCGACCTTTATATACCAATCTCATTCTCTCGGTTATATAGTGAACGCTTTATGCCGTTTCCTTGAGATGGGCACACTATAGCGGGACTGTACTGTATCGAGTGCTTTCGTCACCGATGCCAGAGGCTCCAGCTATAGCTTGAGAGACCAGTCGACATTACCACCGTGCAGTTTACCACAGATATGCACACTTATTATGTATATCAAAGAGTAGTGACTCTCTGAGCCGCTGCGAACGACGCAGCTCCTACCGATTACTGATCACTGATCAGATTCGTGCATATTTCGGTTCGTGCATATTGAAGTTTCGGGCGCTGGCGGGATTTCGTGATCGTTCTTCGTGACAGAAACCACCACTCCCTCTGAGGATCTTTCTATTCTGGATAGTTCTCTAACAAGATAATCACCGCTCTATTTGCTGAAGAGTCTGGAGCGACTTTTCAACCCGCGGCTTCGCGGTATCCCACTGCGGAGAAATTCCTCCCCAAGCTCAAGCAGACAAGGACAGATACATACGTTTCTCTCCGTGTGTAACAATGGACTGCGGATACACGACGACCGATTTTAATACAGGTCATGAGTCATGAACGGTAGAATGATTTTGCTCGGAGCGAGCGGCGTTCATTCGCAGACGCAGGTCCCTGCGGCCTGCGACTGCTGTCGAGCTCCGGTCTCATTCCTCCCGGGTTCATCTCTAAATTCCTCTCGCTTAATTTGTCCGTGAGTCCGTCGGGTGCCGGTCGGTTTCTGCTCGACTTGGACACGAAATTAAAAGTGTCGACTCGTTCCGAACGCCGCGCCGCCGCCGTCGATGATGAACAAGAGCCCCATCCCACATGCGGCGGCAGCGGGTCCCTCCTGCAAAAACCAAAGAGACTGTCGTCGAGGACATCGGGGACCTTGGAGGAGAGAGGAATGAAGATTTTCTCAGCCTTGTCCCCCTCTCCGTGTCGAGAGCGTTATCTCCGTTTCGTAGCCACTATATCTCGCAGAATAGCGGCGAGAAGAAGCGGGAAAAAAACGGACGGCGCGACGGAATAATTAGCGCTCAAAGCCCACCACATAGTGGAGATAACTGGAAATTCCCCGTTCCCATCGTTCCCGAGTCCAGAGCATAAACAGCCATTCAAGATTCTGCCCGGGCTCGCCCTCCGGTTCACTGGATCCCCTAAGCGCTCACTCCAATCTGCGTTTTCGATATTCGTCTGCAGGATAAGATTTCCTGATCCCGTGGGCACGGAGGTATCCCGGACTCCCCGTGTCTGTTTTAACCTGATCAGAGATCACCGTATATCCAAGCGGAATCTACAGACGAAGAAAATATCGCGCTCGCTCACAGACACCGGGCGCGGGCTCAAAGCCATACATCATGGAGTTGCGCACATCGGCTCATACATTTAATTGTGAGAAGGGACAGCTTGACAGCTCGGGCGATCGAGCCTCGACGTACAGGGAAACATCGCTCGAAGGCTTTGCCAAACAGCCTATATGAGCTCAGATCGGGTCGGATGCAGAGCTCGAGCTGTTGCGGCGCGTGCTGCTCACACGTCAGAGCAATCACGCTTCGATCGCATCCAAACCTTCCTGTTGAATGCGTAACGTCGCCGACGACCGACAACAATCGGCGGGGAGCACTAGCGGAGGCAATGGCCGCGATGGCAGAGACGTCGGCAAAACAGCCACGACGACAACCATGTCACGCTTTCGCTCTTTCTACTGGACCAGCTCGCAGACCAGCCGTAAATAGAACATACGATACATACTATTATTATCAGCAGCAGCTCCATGGCTTTCATCCCACATCTGGTGGGACGAATACGCGAGTTTTTCGCCCTGCGGCGTGCCTCACATGGCATCACGGGAGCGGTCAACGCAATTTATTGCATCTGCATTTTTTTAAGCGTTTATTGCGGCCTTTACGGGTGATCTTCTAATCGTTCCGGTCCGCGAAGGAACTACACGCGCTACCCGGCTATGGCACGTCACCGCTTGGCTCCTCACACATTACGGTTCTCGTGATACGAGAAGAAATGTATCCTTTCCTCAGAATGATTACCTGCTTTATTCCCCGGATATGGAGCGCGGATCCACTATGAGTCCGAGGTCGCACCAGCCGTTGGCACGTTTTCCGACGGAGATGACGCAGGTGCTCTTGTTGCTGCGAGACGTGTTGCAGACGGTCCGTCTGCTCAGAGTGCCGCAGTATCCGAGCCCGCCGCTCAATGAGATCCATGACGCTCGCTCCTCGTTAAGTCCCCGTGACGGAGGTATGCGCAGCAGACCTCGTGTAGAAATTATTCACACCGCGCCCGAGAACGCGATCAGCCCTATAATTCGCCGGAGTCTCGAGAAAGCTTCGTCGACGTTGCTCTTCCGTACGCCTCTCTGTGGCTGGCCATTGATCCGACGGAGTCGATCTCCGAGGAACAATCGTGTCTTCGAAGACTGATCGTCCATCGTAGTAATAAAGTACAAGCTGTTGTTAGGGATCCTTTCACGGCAAGTGTCCTTGCCATGCTTGACGTTAATGGTCGATCGGTGTGCTCTACGAATGCTCTTGTATCTTTTGAGGATCGATTCGCCCTTGTACTATTGCCTAATATGCATCGAGCCACTTTGGGATTGATAGGGAAAGGGTATTCGACTTCCGGGACTTCATTGCGGTACGATAATATTCAAAGAGCCCACAGCGATCCCAGACCAGCCTGATGAAACTCATCCAAACCATGATGACGATCAGGTTCTTTTCGCGAACTTCCTCAGCGGGTGGGGGGGATCTGCTCGGGGCAAAATGCGCGGATCGATGCCTCATCAAATTCTCGACTTGAAACCGTCCTATCCGGGCGAGACACTCTTGCGGTGGATATCTGGGTCGATAATAAGAATTCACACCGGAATCATACTTGCGAGATCTCGGGTAGAGACGCCACCATTTCTCACTCATTTGCGAAGGATATCGGGACGTGACTCGGCATTCGCCCGAGATGGGATACTTTCCCAATTTCACTTATGGATAGAAGAATCGCTTCCTCTCAAGAACAGGGTCCTCCGCCAAATCTTTCAAGCATGGGATATTCTCAAAGGGCAACGCTCGAATCTGGGGCGCTGGTTTAACGAGGGAGGCCCTCGATTGCGGAACATTACTCTTGGTCGAGTAGATGGAATACGAATTTCGTAGTGTTGTGAAAGAGCTCATTCGGTAGAATTTGTTGCACTTTCATGAATCGAAATCACTCATTTCCAGCTATTCGATCATTTGATCTTCGCCTTTTTCGCCGTGGAAATGGCCGTGCGCATATTGGCAATGGGATTCGTTGGAGGTCGAAATTCATATCTCTCAGAAACATGGAACCGATTAGATTTTTTCATCGTCGTCGCAGGGTGAGTACCTCTGATAAGATCTAGAAGTAGTTCAATACATTCTATTATGCACTGTACAGCGAGCTCCGGGGCTGGGACCGTATAGTTTCGGAAAGAGAGAGACGACGGAAAGATTTTCATCACCGAAACAAAGATTATCATCCATTACCTATCTGCTAAGATACCATTAGGATATAATGGTAGATAGAGTCAGAGAGGGTCAATAAAGCATCCATCCATCCAATTTCCGCGCAGTCTTCCTCGAGCTGCGAGCTCTCGGATGTCTGAAAATTATTCGCGTTTCTGACCTCATCGCACCGAAAGGAAACGACGCTGATGTCCGCGCAAAAGCTCATTCGTTCACGCGGTCAACCTGACCCACTTTCAGCGCTGAGAGTGATGATCGTGTGCGTACTCTCGGCGAATTCGGACGCTCCGTGGTCCACATTAGCTTCAACTCACGCGATTCATGACCCGGTCCTTTATGACATGACTGAATATTATATATGCCCCTCGTAATCGCATTCACAGTCTGAAACTTAATCGCGCAGCGCTGGTCTACGGTTATATCGATCGCATATCTAGGCGTCCGACTGTTCCACTCGCTACACAACAGTCGGATCGCAAGTCGCCCGACCCGAGTTCACTCAGCGCGAACGAGTCGAAGGTCCCCGTGACTGCTCAAGGAGGTCCTCTTCATGCTTCGAGTCGACCTCATCCTGGAAAATAATCTCGTGGGATTCTTGGAACTTGAATTACTCTCCGGACTTGCCTGACATCGGTCCCGGGCGAACTATTATCGATCATCGGGGTCACGAACCTCGGATCCATCTTCCGAGGGCAAGCTTCCCGCTCAGATCCGCTGAACGCGGCCTTCGGAGGGGGAACCTTGAGGATCCCTACTGTGTAGGGCATAATGGTTTTTGCCCTGGTTTTCTCTCGGTGCTTATTTTGCCGCGATGCCGCCGTTGAACATCACTATCGCACACCTTCGATTGAGCCCCACAGAGTGTAGGCGACCGCTTCTCGTCGTGAATTCGTCCAAGGTCCCGCCTCAGCCCCACGTCCCTGAGATGGACGCTAGGCTGAACGAAAAGTCCCGGAAATAGACTAACTAACGTAAGTTAGTTATGAGCCGCGACAGGCGAAAGACATGATCACTCGAGAGCTGTCGCCCACCAGCTCCCTCAATCCTCCGATGTGCCTGACTTTCACTGAGCTCGTTGTTAGATGGCTCTTGTTCGAAGCCTGTACGCGACGGATATGCAGCCCTCTATGACGCGAGAGACTACGTTGCCATGATAGGATAGTTTTTTGCGCAGTACGCGCAGGCAGTAAGTAACTCCCTTTCACCGCGTTCGCTCTTCTCTGTCCCCTTACCCTTCTCTGGTATCCCCATTTTTCAATGTAATAAAGGTAAGCGCTTGCAAACTCACTCTGCCCTATCGCTACTCTCTTCACTAGCTTCCATGAGAGTGGGACTCGCGTGGTGCTGTAGACATATGCGTGCTTCCTCTGATGTGACGGGGAAGGGGATCTGGGCAGGCGCGTGCCCAGGAATTTTTTTGGGGGGGACGGGCCATTGTCTTGGTAGGGGCTAAAGTACCGATGATGATGGGCCTCAACATGGAAATCTATGGGCCAGAAAGAGATCTAGAGGGGGCCATGGCTCCTCGCCCCCCCCCCTGCCTTCACCTGGGCACGCCACTGTATTTGGGGATCGTCAATTGTATCATCCCTGTCCCGGAGAAATGCCCCGGGTGTGTGCCGAGGAACTTGTTACGACTCGTTACTCCACGGAGTTTCCGAGCGCATCTAGAGCTCATCCGACCAAAACTCAGTTTGTTTCAGCTGTACTCCGGTAAAAGTGTAGCAAAACATGAAGCTAATGCTTTTCATTCGTGGTGCAAGTCTCACGTGCCAACTTCTGATTTGCAGAGCGATCGAATATTGTTTGGACGTGGGCAATATGAACTTATCTGCCATCAGGACGATTCGGGTGTTGCGACCGTTGCGAGCCATCAACAGAATCCCCAGTGAGTATTCCACCGTTCAGCTCGTGATCTGAATTCGGAAACCCCCGAGGAAAATCGCTCGAATTCCGCTGATGACGTCATGGTGAAGTGTTGGTCCGCAACGTCCCATTCTGTTTTCGTCTACCGATCCATTTCGGAGAACTGCAGGGATTCGGGTCCGAACATACCTGCACGCTTTCTCTGATACCAGTTTCGCAGCTTCTTATTCCCTTGAGAGACCAAGAGCTTGTCGCGAGAGATTAAGAGGCCCCAATGTCCTCCTTTTCCTTGGAATTCGCCATATTCGTCCGACCGTTTTCTGAACCGTTTCCGTTCCTCTGGCGGTTCGCGATTCCACGAAAAGTTATACGGCGCCCCTCGTTCCTTCGACACCGAGTCATTCTCTTCTAGTCATTTCTTTCAACGGTCTCGTTGCGGCGAGTAGCCGCAAGTCTGTTGCTCGTCGGCCGGGACGAGCTCCTGTTCGGTTCCCTTGTTTCTCGCTCGAATTGTTTCTCGATCCTCTTTTCAAATAAGCAATTGATGGGTATCTCAATCTCGGCTGGTCGACTCTTTCCCGCCTCTACCCTGATCCCTTCCCAACTGGCTCGCGTCTCTGTTCCTTTCTTCTGCTCCGAAGCGAGAACAAAGGACTGTATCGACATTGGCAACCCTAAGGTGTCGGAAGAGAGGTTCGAACGCCGACCCCGTATAGTCTCGATTGGAGGAAATCCTCGTTTCCCCTCCCGCAAGACAAGAACAAGACTCGACCGAGCACGGTCGGGCTATTCCTGCGAGTTCGGCTCCGGCTCGATTCGTGAAACATCCTGCGGCATCTCGAACGAGCTCTAATCATGATATGAGCCGTTCGTTTGGGGGACAGGGGTTGCGGAACCACCCGAGTGTTTATTCACGGCTCTAAGCACTGTGAATCGCGGAGTACCTAAAAGCCCCAAGAATGCGGCCCGGGAGTATTCCTGCGTGTTCAGTCGACGGAAGACGACTAACGACGAACCTCCGGAGCGGAAATATCAATCGAATTTGATTGAAGCACTACTATGTTTCTGAGGAGGCAATCCTATTTCTTGCTGTCTGCAATGGAAAACCCACTCTGCCAGTACAGTTCAGTGAGTTCCGATCATCGAAGCTCGAGCCGCCCGGTCGGATAGGGGAGGGACGTCCTCTGGGAAATCGGGTCAGGTTCTGGGTCCTGGTTCCTTGACGATGCATGATCGGAAAAATGACTTGTGCTGGCCCTTGTTTTTCGCTTTACTTTTTTTACCTTTTTTACTTTGCCTCGCTCGAGTTTCCGCCATGCTCCTGCCCCGCATGGAATCCCCCCTCTCCCACCGAATATCTTGAGGTCTTATGTACCTAGTATCGACGCATGGGCCCGCTCATCTTGAATCTCGCAGAAGAGAATGAGAAATGCTCTCTCAAATCGAATCCTTCGTCACAGACCAGACTGACACATAGGTGTATCGCAGAATGAGGCAGAGTCGGATTGATTCGATGGAGGCTTCCTCTTCGACATGTTCAAGGTCGCAGCGAGGTCAAAGGCGTCGGTCTGGCGAGAAAACTTGCGAAGTCGGCCCCGATCGTGCACTTATTCCCAACTATGTCTCGTGCGAATCATGTTTTTTGAAGCGAGGCAATCGTCGTTCTTCGCCAAGACTCTCTGCCTGTCCAAACTCACATGCATGCACGCCTCCCCTCTGCGCACATTACCATATTTGTTTCCGTATCGCTGGGAAAGTACGCACGGATTTTGGCGCGCTCAATATATACAGACACGATGCGAGGATTCGCTTACGCACGACACGGCCGAGGGAACTCTTTCTTTCGAGTGTGTGGTGATCCTTCAGAGCCGCGGTGACTCGGGCTGCGCTGTTCTTGATCGATGATTTTGTTCCTGGCGAAAGAAAATCAATGATGTCCCGACCTTCATGGCCGTTGTTCTTTTTCTCTCTTGCAGGCATGAGAATCCTGGTCATGCTGCTCCTAGACACTCTGCCCATGTTGGGCAACGTCCTGATGTTGTGCTTTTTCGTGTTTTTCATCTTCGGAATCGTCGGCGTCCAATTGTGGGCCGGACTGCTTCGCCAAAGGTGCTACCTTCCGACGACATTTCCACTGAACGAGGAGCAGCTCTACGAAAAATTGTAAGTTTCCTCAGTCCAAGCTAACTCAAAGCGTTCCACACGATAGCCAATTTCGCTTCCTCGCAACTTCGGCAGCGTTCCGCAAGTGTCTCAAGCTTCGACTGGTTGCGGTTAGCTTCAACGACTCAGCGAGCGGTGATTGCGGCTATCACGAGAGAGCGGGAGGCAAGGCACAGGAGAAGGAGGAAAAAAACGAGTTATGCAACGCATATCCTAATGAATGCGACCACCGCGCAGGCTGCCGAATGGCGTTGGCCAAAGGAGGTCGTTCGACGCTGTCACTCTGATAGTATCTTCACAGCCGGAGTCGGCTGCGGGAGCCGCACACGAAAGCAACAAGAATAAAAATGACGTCACCCAGGCTTCTGCGGTTGACCTGCAGTCGCTTATTCGCTCAACGTTGATGAATGGAGATCATCCTCTCGTCGGAGAGGACGGATCTTGAGGAGTCTTCCACGGTGACTCCGTATTCTCGGGTTCGTCTCCCTTCGAAATCAACGAGAATGACGCTGCCCTGCCCAGATTTCCTTAATGACCGCGACTCGAGCCTGGGTCAGAAGTCGGTGGCGGGTCAGAAGTCTTTGAAAAATATTTCTCCCGAACTGGTCGGGTGGACCTCCAGATCGTTCGGCTCCAAGGTTCCACCGACTGTCCGACATGGCGTTTCGTACTCTCTTCTTCTTCAGTGCTTCCTTGCGTACCCGGTCGACTGATGTGTTCGAGTGGAAAACAGCGGATGACGAGCGCAAATATTTGATAGGAGCTCACGCTTAGTCAGCAAAGTGTGTCCACGGTCGCTGGTATAGATCCAAGTCGTGCTGGTTGAGCTTCCAATTGAGCAGAAAGACAACTTTTCCGTGTCCCACTCTCGTCAAAAAGGTTAGGGCTCGCTCTTTCCCCGACTCAAAGAGCTCCTCCGGCGGAACATGTCGGAACAGATGGATCGGAAACAACATTAAGAATCGCTCTCCGGTCTCGAATCACGACGAATTGACCAGGCTCGATTGCTCCTCGGGAATTATCCCTCTTAAAGATTCCCGAGACAGAAATCTCATCTATGATTGGGTCGGCCACCCTCGACACCACGAAGGGGTGACGGTATGCTTGAATTTTTCAAAGCCTTCAGGAGAATTCTCCCCACTCTTTCCGACTCGAGCTCATCCAGTCATCGCTGATTTTTGGGGGCTAACCTCTTGGTTTTCGGTCTGATCCAAGAGATCCCGCGCCATCGACTTCCTCCGCTAAATTCCTCCAGGAGTTTTTCCGCGTGTCTTCGAGTCTTCTCCTGCACGGCCAGACGCTAAAGAACAGTAGCCATCCGATCCCGGGTCGTTTGCGAGAGGACCAGAGTGGTTCGGAAGTCTTTGCTGCCCCTTTTACTCCCGCAAATAGATCACGAATCAATTTGGTCGTCGAGCGGGACGGCAGGCAGGACGGCTCGCTGGCTGGCTGACTCGATGGTACGGCGTTGTATTCTCACCTCTCGCCACACTCGTTCCGGAGAGTAGAGAAAAGTCATGCGAGAGCGAGAGAGGCGGCTGTTTTATAGTTGACGGAACGTAAAGTGAGATTAATGAACGTACGTCACAAGGATACGTCCGCGGAAGTCAACACTGTGTCTGAGATGTAAGGCCAGAGCGGTCCCGGAGCCCGGAGACGGCCTCGTGGACCTCGGACTCGACCAGGACGAGCTCGGCGATCGATCCACGAGAGTTGGGCATCCAAGAGACTTGATAATTATCGGTCCTGGCGCCTATCGAATATCAGTTTTCTCCGATCCACTGCAGAAGTGTCTGCTCAGTTCCCCCTGATACGTGGTTCCAATCGAGCGTCCAATGAAATTTCCAAATATTCGATTATACTTCTAGACCGAGAACATCTGCCGATGCTGAGTCCCCCTTAGGATTTTAGATATCGCTCTCGGTTAAAGTTTGCTCAAATTCCTGAAAAACACTCTCGGACGAACTAATTTGCCCCATGTTGGCTGAGGTAATCGCTCGCATCGTCCTCCAGACAGCTGAGCTCCGACATAGAGTGCCGCGGAAGTCCTGAAATAATCAGAACGTCGATACATGTGGATAACGAGTTTTTATCCCTTGCAGTAAAGTGAAAAACTACTACACGATTGGCCAAACCGAACACGATAAGGATTATATATGTTCAACCGAAAACAACAACGGCATCCATCGATGCGACATGCTACCGCAAAGAATATTCGAAGATGTACTCTGTAGTCAAGCTTTTGACAACATGTCATTTCTGGATCATTACGTCAATCGACCGGGTAAGTCGCATCAGTTTCGTGAATCTTCTCGTTTCTCATCTATGCCTCTATTCTCCATCAGCGAAACACAGATGAGGGACTCCTCGCTAAAAAATGCGGCTGCTACGATCTCATCATAATTGAACATCAGATCAGTCTGAGTCCTCAGAGAAGTGTTTGCGGAACGAAGAGCACCGATAATGATCGGGGAAACCGCTGGATAATCTTGAACAAGTCCCGTCACGCGATCCAAAGAGCTCCTGATTAACACCATTGGCCACGCGACTCCGCTGACCTTGCTTCCTGGCATCGGGCCTAGTCGTTCCCAGTGCAGAGTCTCGTTCTAGCTTAAGTACTGCGAATCATGAAGTTGACAGATCGATTTCATCAAGCTTCTCCGCATTTTCTCTGATCGATTCTCCTCGGAACAGTTACGCAATGCATGGTCCCCGAGTGATCGAGGCAATCAGGATGCGAGCTCGGGATCTGCGATAGGCGTTCTTTCTGTGCTCTCGGAAGAATTACGCACTCGAAAACTAAACAGGATCGCTCACGCTGCAAATTCGTGCAATGAGCTGAATTCGAGCTCGGGAGAGCTCTCGCCGTTGAGAAACCTCGAGGAAGAGTTGCCATGGAATCGCTGAGGAAGTTCCTTTCATTCAAAACTTTCAAAAGGAGGCTCTCTTGCCCACGCGGAAATTTCGAGCAAGAACCGAGACGCTCCGGGGTCTCTCTTAACGGAATACCCAATTATGTTTGCCGAGTTCCGCGGAGGCACAATGAAAAACCTTTGGTAGCATTATTCGAGGCTCAGCCCAGAAAGCGCTATTCAACTCGAGCGCTCACCGACGCACGAACGTGGCCTGATTGGGGAATCGACAAGCTCTGAGAAAGGCCAACTCTACCGGGCCGACTATCAAGCGACGACGGGACGACTGAGACTCGCACTGACGGGGGAAGACATGTTGAGCGGCCACTAAACGGGTGAGCGAGCGGACGAGTTTAATTAATTCTCCGTCAATCTCGCTACGCCGTGCCAATGACGGCGACCGTAGGTATAAGTGTCAGCCTCTCGACAGCTCGCTGCCTAATCGCTCGCCGGATCAACGCGATTAAGATCGAGCTCGACCGAAGCGTAAGGTTGTAACCTTGAGTCTCTACCAGGAGTCCCCCGAATGTATAAAGTTCTGAAGATCGGGAAATACATTGGACTGTCCACATGTGGAGTTCCTGAGCGCCGATTCCCGCCAAGTCTTCCCCGAAGCTTGCGTCGCCCACGGGGCCTCCAGGAATCCCCGGCGCTCGAGAGATCCTGAGGTCACAGAATTAATTACTGGCTTGGATAAAAATCCTCGTTCGAGCTCGCACGGCGGCGCTCATTTCGCTCGATTCAGCTTTTTTTTCGCTGCCCATCAAGGACTCCGTAAATTCGAGGATCACGCTCGGAGCCCTCGTTACGACTGTACGAGCGAGAGGATCTCGATGGAATCATCACTGGGAATAAACTCTGAGGATCATGGTTCGCTTTTATCAAGAGAAATTGCCGGAGCTCACGCCGACATACCCCAATTCAATTTTCGCGGACTCGTCTCACGTTCCTCCGTCGTCGCGTCCCGGCACCTGATTCCGGAAGGGAGCATAATCCGTCTTGCACATTCCCGTGCATCGTCTGCGAAAAACTAAAAATACGGAGTGTGCGGGATCGCTATTCTACAAAAATCCGCCTGTTCCGAGAAGATTAATCGATCCTCTGAGACTGTCCTGCACCGCGAAAGGCCAGCTGGTTTCTCTCACAACACCACGCATGATAGCCGGCGGAAAATTGCGCTATATTTTCTCTTTCCCTGCGCTCCTCGGCAAGGAACACGCTCGCCCGCAAACAAGCGGGGCTCAGGGCTTTTCCTCAGCTCAATGGGAGACCTCCTCGATGTGGTGAAGGGCAAAGCCCGGCTCGATACAATATGTGAGCTCAAGCTTGTCGCGATGGTGAAAGCTTCTAAGATAAGGGGGAGGGGGTATCAAGATTTGAAGCTCTTCTCCAGAATACTCGAGTTCGTTGGGGACTCGAGCAGTGCGGACGGACATTATGATGTCGCTGAATGAGCGAAGCAAGGCGATTGAGAACGAATTTCTTTTTCCAGAGGGAACCTCACCAGACGGCTCTCCGGCTCGGAGTTTGAACGACTCGTGGTGCATTAATTGGAATCAGTACTACACGAACTGCTCCGCCGGCGATCGCAATCCGTTCCAAGGAGCCATATCGTTCGATAACATCGGACTAGCCTGGGTGGCTATCTTCCTAGTGAGTAGCGTTTGCAGAATAGAGACATGTTTGGTGCGGCTCCGATTTGAAACTTGTCGGCGAGGCCCCCCCAGCCTCAACTCGTCGAAAATTTCCCGAGTCAGGCACGACATGTCGTCGACACAAGCTGACACGTGCGCGCAGGAACAGACGTTAGGCCTTTCGGAGACTTTCGGCTAAGGAAAGGGAAGCGAGCGAATACGAAGTCTTCCGCCAGCGGTGAAAGCGCTCCTGTAGAATCGATGCAGGAACGAAAACTCCTTCGGAGGGTATAATCAGATGAAGTCCCTCGGAATGATAGGATCGGCGTCGGGATCAGTCCAACCTAACAATGGGATCGGAAACGCGAGCTTCTAACGAGCTGCGAAATCTTGCATTCCGATCCCTTGTCAGCTCCTGAGATTTCTCGAGCCACCTCAAATCTGGATCGAGCGATCTCAGAGACTGAATGAAAAGAATAGAACGGCGGACGACCGCACGGGCCCGCGTGAGAATGACGGGGGCAAGGAGGAGCTCGGGCTGTCGCGGATTCTCAAGTCGTCGCATATCGGCTTTTCGCAAAATCGGGCTTCGCCGTGGGCGGATGGGCGGCGGCGGTATGCGCGAGCGGGCAGGTCGACGAAAAAGCGAGCGAGTGGATCGTGGCCGGACCGACCTCGCCGTCTGGGGGCTCTTCAGTCTTAAAAACGCTTCAAGGACCTAATGAGCATGCGGTCAGGAGTTTCTCCGTCGAGAGAAGGAAAAATGCGCCGACGATGACTTCACCGCCACCATGATGAAGACGGACATCGAAACGATCGCTGCCGCAGCGATGCAACACGAACCCGCCGATCCGAAGCTCAGAGGCCTGGCGTCGATTTCTACGAGCTCCCGATATCCTCTCGATGACCCCTGGGACTTCTCGCGAGTCATTTCGTCGGTTCGATTCCTCTTTATTCACAATGCAGTCATTCAACGCCTTATTCCAGGTAATAAGCCTTGAGGGATGGTCCGATATCATGTACTATGTCCAAGATGCGCACTCCTTTTGGGACTGGATCTACTTCGTCCTCTTGATTGTCGTAAGTTCCGGTGGTTCTGAGGAACGCCTATAGAATACCATTCCGTACGCCGGGTTTTGCACGAGGCGCACGTGATCATTTTTCCATGAAGGAATAATTAATTACTCATAGGCTCTAACTGATCACCTGCTCCCAAGCGGGCACTTCATTGAGCTGCTAGTCGAGCGGCCGACACCGCCGTGCGTCTGACTGATAATGAGTGAGAGTTGTAAACTCTCGAAACAATCCGGACCGAGAGAGCAGGCCTTGTCAGGCCTCTCCCGCTCTAGAATCTCCCTGGATTCTCAATACTGGAACTATTCCATTCGTGTATTCGCGCGAGTCAGCCTAGCTGAAGAACAGGACTCCGATTGCCGTTCCTGGCGGAGGAGCAATCCATATGATGACCATGAGAGAAATCTCGATTTATTATCGACTCCCCTGCCTTACTGAGCGGAATATCAGCTCTGGCGTTAATGGCGAAAACGCATTCGTAAAAGAAAGCCGAGCCTACCGTGAGGACGGAGTTGCTGGAATGAGGAGACAAGCCTCCTCTTCCAGCTAAAATGTTGCCCGACACGGCGGTCGGAAGCAGGATGCACAATAAATCACGCATTTTTTTTCTCGTCGCAACTTGCAGATCGGTTCATTTTTTATGATCAATCTATGTCTGGTTGTGATAGCTACTCAATTTTCGGAGACCAAGAAAAGAGAAATGGAAAGAATGCGCCAGGAACGAGAGCGAGCCGGCTCGAGTTCGACCCTCTCGATGTCCGAAGGCGCAGACTGCTACACGCAGATCATCAAGTACCTGAACCACTTAGCCAGACGAACGAAGCGCGTCATAAAGCGATGGTATCGAAGACGCCGGAGACAGCGAAAAATCAAGAAGAAGGTAAGCCGGAACGATACTCGACTTCTGGGCAGGCATGTGAACGAGCCCATGAGTAGAAGTTGAGGGTCGAGAGCGTGGGCATTGTGGATCACGTCCGGTGTACTTTGCAGCGAAAAGAAAATGAACTGAAAGACATCAACGAAGACCCCGAGGGCGAAGACCAGTCGCATCTAGCCGACAAGCATGGACATCGGTGCCATTCGGAAACACAAAAACTTGAGTCGATCCTCCACAAAGAAGCCAACATTGTAACCACAACTGCCACCACGACCTCAACCTACACCTCAACCCTTACACGCAAAGGTAAGCCGAAGGCGACCGTTATCTCTCGGTACGAGTCACAATCATACGTCAGTAGCTCCATTCCCGGGCTCGATCTAGCCGAACCTTTCGGCCTAAAGGATTAAAATTCTGAAGAGGAGCGGCACGCCGAGTCCAAAGCCGATGTTTCCGAATGATGGCCCATGAATCATGGTCGGAGGCCGTCTCCTCCGACTGCCTTCCTTTCGTCGTAATTTTCATTGCTGCCAGTGGTCATTCTCCTTTCACCAGAGCGTTGCCATCGTGTTTTAGGTAGCCCCAAGGACTACGAGAAACGTTCTCCCGTAAAGGATGACGCGAATGCCAGTTCCCAGCACCTCCTGCTGTCGCAGTCCCGCAATTGCACCTGTCCCTTTCCTTGCGGCGCCTGTTCACAGCAGATGCAAGCGACGCCTCCTACCAAATCGACTTCCACAGTGATTCAATTCAGTGTCAGCCGATGCGGGGATGCTCTGCCGAGCATCTCGGCCACCGTAGATAGCAGAGACTCCTCTCAGCATCAGGAGCAGCAGCGTTTTCAGAAGGAAAGGCAGCAAATCGGACCTGAGGTGGTTTTCGATTTCGCCTGCCTTCCCCAGGAGGTGCAAGCCACCAGCAACAGCTGCACCCTCACCGAGCTTCAATGCCTAGATAGTGATTCAGAGTCCCGAGCGCAAGTAGAGCCATTTACCGCCGGTGGCGTTTGCGCCGTAGCCACGACCCAACCAGAACCGAGGTTAGAAACCACCGAGAGCACAGCACCACCGTTGCTAGACTCCATCTACACCGCAGGTAACGACAATATCTTCTTCGCATCGCTTCTTTCCCCCTCGCAAACCGGGCATCCCTGACCGCCACTTGTGTTCACACGCTCTGATCCTTAGTATCGACCCAACACGAACGACCGACCCGATCTTCGGCTCTGCCTGTACTTCCTTAGTTCCGCATAGAAAGCCCCCATTGTCCGACAGACGTTGAATGATACTGTCAAGCGAAACTTGATTTCGTCGTGCTTTATCCTCTTAGTTTCTCTCCGAGCAGAGTATTCCTTGCCCTGCGCGTTAATTTCGTTTCCTTGCACGTCATCCGCTGACGCCTCCATGATTATCATGCCGCGTCCTGTCTGCCTTCATGAGGCCAGTGTAGGATTGGATGGAGTTCATGGGCCGGCGTTTGAATCGTTTTAGCTTCGATCGATCAAAAAAAAACCTCCTTCCAAATCCATGAGGAATATCCGAGCGGCCGCGTCCAGTAGCTCATGACAATCCTTCTGTTCTTCAGCCTCGAGTGTGCCCTGCCAGCCCGAAGCAGCACGTGCGACAGTGTTAGTTTCAAAGAGCACCTGCACAAGTACCAATTCGACGAACGACGTCATTTCGATTGTCTCTAGTTGTCAAGCCGTGTCGAATAATAGTCGATTGTTGTCAACGACGAGTCTCAAAGCAAACGTCGGCTCGACGTCGCCCTGTTCTGGCGAGAGCGATCCGAACGACAAGCGCATTACCCAGACTAAATGTCCATTACTAGAAGGAGAGCAGTCCACCACCTTCACTAGCGAAAGTCATACACCTGAACAGTCACCACCATCACCTACGTCACAACCTGTACCACAGCAACCGCAGCAGCAGCAGCAATATATACTATCACAGCCACCGACACCGTCGCAGCAGCGAGCGTCGATCGTCATACCGCCACCAGCCGGACCTCCGTCCACCTGCGACGGTACTTCCACATCCATCAATACACCTGCAGAATCGATGGCAGGATCGAAAGCAGCACCACAAAGCAGTTCACTCCTGTACAGAGAAGACGTTGATGTTTCGAGTGACGTTCAACTCCAGCATCTCGCAACAACTAATTCTCCAACCTCCGCTACAAGTACGGCGACTTCCACAGCAGGCTCGATCCCATGCTCAACAGCCGTAGTAGTATCGGAGATCCATCATCGCATCCACTATCAGCGAGAACAGCCACAACAACACCGTAACCAAGTACTTAGGGCAGCGGATTCTGGCGTCGAACTGGAGCTCGATCATCATATCGGCCCGCCATCGCTCGAAGATGATACGGCCTACCTTTGTCTCGGCATCGGCGGATCTCCAACGCCGCTCGCGATCGAGATCGCTGCCCACCCTCCACAAGGTCTTAAAGACATCAACGTCTTCAACGAAGGTGACGACGGTTAGTGTTCAACGATTCCGAGCTGGATTAAGCATTCGTTCGTTCGTTCGTTCGTTCGTTCGTTCGATTGTTTCTTGTTTGATCGCTTGTCTGGTGAAATAATTCCGACCGCCCGCATTCTGTGGGATAGCGGCTTCCACCTCGTCCTCTGCCCCATCGAAAGCCATCCCGCTTGCATGATCTGCATCCGCATCCTGAACCTTGCTTTCTCGCTGAGGAATCCCGAGAGCTCCTGAAATCTCGCGAGCGAGCTCCCCAAGCTCGGCGGATTGGCTCCAGATGCCGCGAAACAGGTTGTTTTTTCGTCGTCCCCTTCCCGGGGAGGAAGGGATCGTAACGGGATAGCGCGAAGGAAGCGCGGGTGTGAAGAGAGCATGGGGAATGGGATATGATGTAGAGGAGACAGGAGCAAAGAAAGATAAATGACACGAGAGGCGGCGGGCCGGGGGAAAGCTTGTCTCCAAGCCGCTTCAGTACGACACTTTTACGCTTGCTTCACATTCGTAAGGGAAAGCAACACTAGCAGACGTATGCGTGTGTATAATATGTAGTTTGTCGGAGAGAATACGAACCGCTGAGAGTTCTCCGGACACACCGCAGCTCGAAACCATGGGTCGAGAAAACGGGAGGGATTGCGAATGTTTCCTGATTTCAGAAGTCGTTTCCGAATGCGAATTCGTCGAGATTTTCTGCAAGTTTCGAGTGAAGTTTCTTTCTAGAGGAGATCGTTCACTGGAGCTCGAATAAGCGGCTGATCTTCCGCAGATACCTTGGATTCTTGTTCGACGTGCTCGTCTTGCAGTTCTGAATGCGACTGCTCTGACGAAGAGTGTGATGAACGAAGGAGACGTCGACGCAAGAAAAACAGAAAACCAGGGAAGTTCGCACAGGCCTGCTCGCGTTTCAGGACCAACATAAAAATTCTCGTCGATCATCCAAGGTTTCAGGTGAGCGCCCGGGCGTCTCGCGGCGATCTGATTCCTCTCCTTCTGTGCTGAACGATGGCTCCTCGACGAATGACATGAAATCTGGGGTCTCGAATTAAATCTTCGCTTGCAGCGTGGAATTTTAGCAGCGATTCTGGTGAATACTCTCTCGATGGGCATTGAGTACCATCAACAGCCAGCTGAACTCACTCTGGCTGTGGAATTGTCGAATATCCTGTTCACGGCCGTTTTCGGCCTCGAGATGGTCCTCAAGATTCTCGCGGAGGGCTTCGGGAAATACATTCAATCAGGTTTCAATGTCTTCGATGGCGTGATCGTCGTCTTATCGTCCGCCGAATTGCTCAACCAATCAGAAGGCTCCGGGCTCTCCGTGTTGAGGACCTTTCGTCTTCTCAGGATACTGAAACTAGTCAGGTGAGTTCGGCACCGTCTTGGGCGGAGGGGAAGTACGATACGATCGAAAAAATCCCATGCTAGCCTTGCGAGGGAGCTCGATCTGAGGTAACAAGCTTCGCGGAGCGAGTTGGACCGGCGCACCATCTTCGAGAAATATGCGAGAGGCATCACGGAAGCTCCGAAATTGCCGAGGAAACTTATCACAGCGTGCGTTCATCCCACCAATTACGCGGAAGATTCTTGAGGCGGGCTAGCGTAACGCCGAACGCCTGAGTGAATGAGAAGCTCCTCGCTTGCTCAACAATTGTTACAACGGCAAAGGGATCTTTTGGCACGTTGAGAATCGGAGCTCGAACACCCCCTTCATCTGCTGCTATATTCTCAAGTCGCTCAGAGTTCCGGGTGCTTCTCGGGAGTTGTGGGGAGTTCGGTTCGCAGAGTAGAATCGGGTGCTCCCGAATTCGGATTCAGCTATTGTTTTCGACCTACGGAAATCACGATCGGAACGTTCGCGATCTGAAATGTCCGAAGAGAGTCGCAGGTCCCCGAGCTCAACACCTGAAGCGTCGCTTCACTGTCTCTCCAACTAACTACCGGAATCCTCCGCTCCTCGGGGCCTGCGAGATGTGGCCTCTCGTGGGCAGCGCCTTCACGGTACTTGAGCTCCACAATGTCACTGAGACCATTTGAGAAACAGAAACAGAAAACCTTCTCCTCGTGAGGCTCATACCTCATACGTCAGGCTCTCATTGAGACTCGAGATCAAATTCTGTAACATTTTGTTACCGAATCTACGGGAGGGTCTCGTCTCGGAGGATGAGAATTGCGCATTTTCATCACTGCTCCCTGGTAGCTCCTCCATGCCGGGGAACGGGAGGAAAACGAAACTCCGGCCGAACCGTGGGGAGCTCCGAAGCGGATACCGCACTGGTCCTGACTTTTTGCCAAACCGACTTGAAAGAATCCTCGTTTCTAACGGCGAGAATCGTCCACAGATTTATGCCAGCATTGCGACGCCAGTTGTTCATTATGCTAAGAACTATGGATAACGTGGCCGTCTTCTTTGCGCTTCTAATGCTGTTCATATTCATATTCAGGCGAGTTTCTGAAGTCCCATAGCCTAGATCGAGGTTCCATCTCATTGAGAGTGGAACTCGATGGAGTTCTCCATCCTCAGAAAGACCCTCTCTAACTGATACCCAATTCTCGATTGCAGGTGAGACATTAACCCGCGCTAGATCAGTGAATATGCTAAGCCGAATCATGAGTATACCTATACGCTCGTCTAGGGGCAGAACGAAGCTCAAGCCCTGCGCTGAGCATCGGCTGTTGAGGTTGCCGCCTGAACTGTTTCGGTTAGTCGAAGCCGAACGCGGTATCGATTCGCCGTGACCGAAGGAAAGGGAAAAATTCTATCGCGGGTCGTCGGGTCCAGAATCGTACCTTCGTCGGGATTGTTCCGAGATTTATCGTCATTGAAAAGCTTGGTGGGCTCAAAAAGAAAATCGAAATCAAACAGACTAGCTCTCAGGAATTCGCACTCTAGAAATCCTTTTAGCGCATGTGAGCCATCCAGATATCTGTCAAAGAATCCGGTGTATGTTTCGTCCGTATCTAGCAGATTCCTTATCCCAACCCTCTATTATCTATCCATCGGGAATCCGCCTGGTGCAGGAAGACACGCTTCCCCTCTGCAGTTCGCAATGAGGCAGCGTGAGCGGACTCTTTCGGAAAGAGACGTGACAATTCGTGGTCTCGGTCTGCCGAAAAAAAACGAGTCGACCCCTAGCACAGGCTCAAGTACACGGCGTGTATTCCGCAACCTTGAGCTTGCCGCTACCTCCACAGCCTCTGCTGGAGCTGCCGCCGCCGCCTCGCTATCGCAATGTCCTCAAGCTTCTCGACTGACCTATGAGAGCTTCGGAGGGTTGTTCGGCTTCTTCCGTATGATACGATATGCCTGGCCAGCTTCTCGACCTGCTTTCTCCGCTTCAAAGCTTCCAATGTCCGAATTGATGTCCGACTTTTTCGTGTGTATTTTTCCGATCTCGGGTCCACCGGCTCCCCGCTCCATCCGGAGGAACGGTGTCCCAAGGTACCATGTGCCATCTTGTCCACACCATTCGTTCTTGTGCGTGGGAAAATTCGATGATTGCCTATAGTCCCGTTCGTCCCTCGATGTTTCAGGCTCTTCTCTCCCTCCCCGTCTTTCACTCTCTTCGACTTTCTCCCTCTCTCTGTTCCACCGTCCCCGTTTTCAACTTTATCTGACCTGTGGAACTCTCAGGCAGGTCTGATGCGTCGGATCTGATCGAACGAATTCTGGAGAGCGCAGACAGAGCTCCAGGGAGTTATCTTCGAATGGTCACACCGAGTTTTCTGTCTCTATTGAGCTGAAAGCAGGACTGAAACCGGATGATCCATCTGACTAGCGTTGCCATGAGCTCCGACTCACGTCTAGAAAGTCTTGACATCCTTAATCCCTCCCACCACAGAATAACGGTGACGGAGGCTTAACAATGGACGACGTTGCTGACGATGCTCGAATCGATTGAAAAGTTCCCTCGAAGCTCGAGCACTTCCGGCCAAGGGAGGAGGGGGCATGAACTTGCTTCTTGTTCTCTGATCCTCGTCAGCTTGGATTTCTCTATCTGATCGAATTTCCTCTGACACTTGTGAGCTCAGGAGGACGGGAGGAAATGGGTCACATTCCTCGGGGGATAAGTGTTCTCCCTTTCGGTCATCTTTAGTTCTCCCTTGATTCGAAAACGTCACCGAGTCCCCCTATTGTATCGAACACTACCAGCCAGCAAATGAAGCTTCGGATTGCAGTCTGTTGGATGCATCGGGTGGGCTTCGGGGCTCTTCTCCAGGATATGCGCCGAAGATATACGAATACACCCATCGGCCGTCGACGAGCCGAAATTGTATAGCTAATCAAGCGTAGGAAGCAAAAACGACGACCGAGACATCAATGATAGTCGCTGACGACCGTAACTCACACTTGCTCATCTTATCTGATTGGTTCCTCTCGTGATGTAGCATCCTGGGAATGAATTTATTCGGTGGAAAATTCTGTACGGTCGACGCTCTGACTGGCCAGCGCATCTGTGATAGAAAAAATTTTGACACGTTACTGTGGGCGCTCGTCACCGTGTTCCAGGTACGCCGCTGATTTTTCATTTGCTATGGATATGAACATTAATCAATCCACCATCACTCCATCGTCATTGAACACACTCGCAGCTACACTTCAATCCATGAATAATCAGTTTCTGGAGCTTTCTCTGGCTCGTTCCGAGAGTATCTTATCACATATAGCTGGAAGCGGAAGCTAAACTGCAATGATTTCTGAGGACCTCGTCTTCGAGGTCTCGAATTCTTTGATTACCAACGCTCGTCACCAAAGCTCATGGCCCCTGAGCATGTGGCTCATGACTCATCATACAAGCAATCTTTCGTGATTCCGAGTGTCCCCACAGGACCACGCCTCGGATCTTTTCACATAGAGCGACACATATATTTCTCGACGGAGGAAAACAAATCATTTTAAAATTCGCCTCATCCCATAATCTTAAAAAAGCTTCAATAATCGCCGACCTGACTTGGCTTCATTTCCCAATTAAATGACGTCGCTGATTCCGCTCTGTGAGGCCTCTGTTCTGAATCATCCAGAGGAAGCGATTCATCTTCAAACGGTAGCTGCTGATCCACAAAATATTCTCCTGATCTCATTGAATGCATCTCATCCTGTCGCTGGAGACCCAGAACTCAGGCATTACTCGAGTCTGAAGGGAGGCTTGGATCCACAAAATTCATGAGTTTGTTTCAAGCGAGCAAATAACCCATGATATCCGATACCTTCCTCGCAAGACGACACGTTCGGCGTTTCTTCTCTCTCGGAGTTCCTTCCGTTAATCGCTGTCGGGAACAGAGACCTCGTCAGAGCGCTTTCAACACGTTCGCTCGCAGCCTCATCTCTAAACTTCCGATTTCGGATCCTCGCTCATATTTATCCGCATGTTATCGATCTCTTCACACCTATCTCCGCGGCTCTCGTTGACAGCCTCATGTCGACATATTACTGCTATCTCCAGTGATAATCATCATCGTTCTTATTGGTGTCATCCTCATATCTACTCCTCTACCCGGAGCTGGAAGTGTTGACGACGAACTCAAATCTTGTAAAACTAACCGTCACTGCGAGCTACTACACTGAACACTGTTCTACGCCGACACGCTAGAGAGGGTCTCGTTCCTGACTGGAATTCATCCGATTCCGACCACTGGAAACACAGGCACAACATCACTGTTGCAATTATTATTGGTTCTTGTTGTCGGAGCTGGCGCTGATGCTGTTGCTGATGTTGTCAATGTCGCGGTTTGCACTACCATTATCAGAGTCAGCGTTGTTGCCAATGCTGTAGCACACTCGCTTGATGCCAAGATTACTCGCGAATCGTTGATCAGGCCACCACACCGTGCCCGGTCACATAGTCCGGAGCAACTCATGATCAGCGCACCACTGCATGTTCCTGAAGGAACCGGTGCTCGATCCTCCGGGAGTCTGAGGGCGAAAAGCAGAGGACTGGAGAACCCAATCAGGTCACTCAGGCAGCTTTCAGCACCCTGGTCAGCTGGCTTCTTCGTCCACCTCAAGGGTGACCTTGTCCCTACACGGGTCGAGGCGAATCCCGAATCACCACACCCGAAGATGTGCGCTCCTCCGCCTCTGGGCGCCGATTAGGGAGTTTCGAGCTGAAGAGCGAGGTCGACTCCTGAGCTGTCACCCTGAATGATATACCGAGAAGCTCAGTTCGTTATCAGGAGCGCGAATGAGCGCATTATGGAATATGAAATGGGTTTCGGCCCGGATCCTGGTTCCTTCCTGGAAGTCGCTCGAAGTTCCGTGCTCCGCGACAAGTCTCGGTTGAATTGCTCTCTCCCCAAAAGAGTCCATAGAAAACCCTCACCTGGAGATTGG